GAGGCTGGGACATGCAGAGAGAAGATGCAGTGTCCTGTGTTCCTTATGATGAATGTGTGGGTATGTGGGGTTGGAAGAGTGAGACCCATCTTGGATTGAGGTTGTTACAGAAGGAGATTGCCCCAGGGGTGCAAAGAACTGGTCTCATCCTGGCTGACTGAGGGGCTGAAGGCACCCACTGCTGATGGCCTGACCTGGGCACGGTGCCCGTGTGGCTGTGTGGGACCAGTGACATGGCTCGGTGCTGGGCCTGATGGTTGCTGGATCCTGGGGACAGTCAGAGGGAAGCAGTAATGACAGTGGGGTGTTCTTAAGAGTACAGGGGCGCCAAGCAGGCATGGTGGCCTTTATTCCATAGGTACCGAGAGGCCAGGTGTGGGCCACAGGACCCTACATCCACGCTGTTTCAGGCTGGTTTACTGTGGCCTGGGCACAGCGCTGGTAGGAGGGGTGAGGGGAAAGTGGTGGATTTGACATTGACTTTGGATTTGGTCACATGTGGACTTGTTAGGGAAGGAAGCAGTGGTTACTGAAGCTGCTGGGCAGGTGAGGCCACCGAGGAGGAGGAGAAGGAGAAGGAGGCAGCGTGATAGGGCCGGTGGGCGGCACCATCTCTAGCTCGCTGTGACTCTGTGCACAATAGGAGACCCTTCCTCACCGTCTCTGCCAGGCTGAGGTCCCATGGCAGCCCAGCTCGCTGAGGGCCATAGTTTGCTGACGCCGCATGATGTCCATCCCCAGGGACTGGCCCTTCTGACAACATGCCAACGTCACAGAAGATAGACTCACCTCTTTTCTGAGCAGCACCCTGGCAGTTAGAGTCCTTCCCTGATACCATGCAGGTGGCTGTGCCTTGAGGTAGAGGTGTGAGAGGAGCAGTTAGAAGGTGTGGGTGTGAACTGAGGATTTGGGGGGGGGGGGTGGTCAGGGGTGTGTGTGTGTTTGTTTGTTTGTATGGGGCAGGGGAGTTAAGATCTGAGGGACAGACACATTGACTCTTCAGAGGTGAGCATGCAGAGAGAACCACTTGAGGGGCCTTCAGAGAGCATCACCCCAGAAGGCAGGATGTTCTTGTCCGTCAGCGTGGGGACCTGCTGCAGCTGCTGTGACCTTGAGGGATGTGGGAGAGAGAGAGGTGCCTTGTATTCGGATTCATGGAAGATAATGTAGTTTATCATTTCTTGTTTACTAAAAAGAATAGACCTCCTGAGGAGCACACGGGATGTTGTGGTGGCGCAGTCGGTAGCGAGCTGCACTGCTTTCCCAGAGGCTGTGCATGTACCTCTGCCGGTTCAAATCCACCAGCCGCTCTCAGAGAGGAAGGAGGGCTTCAGTGCAGATAGAAAGTGAGTTATGGGATGGAGTGTTAAGAGACAAATGAAACATTTAAAGAAAATGTTTCAGATGTGTTTAAAAGAGAAAGTGTTTCCATTCACATTTATCCTTGTAAGACAGTTAAACACTGCAAAGAGAGGCAGGCGCTGGGCAGGATTTACTTTTGTGGGAAGGAGGTCATAATTTCAGTCTTTTTCATTGTGTATCTTTTCAATTTATACCCTGGAAATGTTTTCCATTTTCAATTTTGCTTTCACGACGTGGCCTGGAGGTTACCCCTTTCCTTCAGTGTTCATGCTGCCATGACTAAGACGCCGATCGTGGTTTTGATCTGATGTTTTCTGAAGATGAAACTGGAGCACTACCGGCTCGGTCAGGGACTCTGGTGGCCTAGTGGTCAAGGAATCCCACTGCCAGCCCAAAGTTGTGTGGGTCTGGTCCGCCAGCTGCTCCATGGAGAAAGGTAGACAGTCTCCTCCTGTGTGATTTGCTGCCTCTGAAAACCTGCCGGAGGGCCAGCAGTGAGTTGGATTTCCAACTCTATAGTACGTAACAACAGCAGTAATGTTACTGACTTTGGAGGGATGGTCTTTTACCAACTCTCTGAAAGAAAAAAAGCCATTCATTTGGCTCCAGAGATGAAATGAGAGGGAAGTTAAGAGTCACTGTGCCCTGATGAATTTACTGTGGACATGCACACACATGCACACACACCCCTCTGTGTGTGCACTGTGTCACTGTGTCCGGTCAGTTTGTTGCACATCCTCCCCAGCACTGTGTACATTGTGTGTCCCTGTGTCCTGACCCTCCCTGGCTCTGTGTGTACCATGTGTCACCGTGTCCTGACTCTCCCTGGATGTGTGCTCACTGTGTGTCCCTGTGTCCTGACTCTCTTCGGCTGTGCGTGTACTGTGTGTCCCTGTGTCCTGACCCTCCCCAGCTGTGTGTACACCGTGTGTCCCTGTGTCCTGTCCCTCCTGGCTGTGTGTGTCCGTGTATCCTGACCCTCCCCCGCTGTGTGCACACCGTATGTTGGTGTGTTCTGTCTGAAATTTTATTGCATACTCCCTCCCTGGCTGCATGTACCCCACATGCACTGGGCTGAAGCTGCCCATTTGTCCACCCTTTGTGAAGCTGTCCTGAACCTTTGTGGGTTTTATTACAGGACAAAGCCTGCTGAATGGGGGGCCTGTGCCCTGTTGCAAGTGAAATCTGTGTCCTAATCCTGCAGTGGCCTCAGCGGGGGGTCCTGTGACAAGTAGGCTTGAAAGGAGTCCTGGGGGTGGACGTGTGCACCATCTTCTGGCAGCTGCTTCTTTCAGCCTGTTTGTGCCTTTCTGCTGGTGGCCACCTTTTCGTGTTCCTTGATCCCATGTATTTTCGGTGTCCCTTGGTGCCATGCTCTTTCCTGCTCCCTGAATTCCTCACCTGTAGTTAAAAAAGACCTGGACACCAGAACCTAGTGGTGGGCATTGGGCATTGCAGCGAGTGGGGCTTTTTGTCAAATGTTTTTGGAAGTCTCTTAGGGAAGAAGGGCTGTGCAGTGGCAGTGAGCCTCTGCCCAGCGCCCTTCATTCAGTTGGTGGGATCCAGCAAGTGCACGCCTTGTGTGCAGCTCCACTCCTGGGCCGACGTTTCTTGGTGTCGGTACACTGTGAGAGAAAGAGATGGGGCAGGAGGCACCTTTTATAGGCCTTCAATAATAAACATTCATTTTCTAAAGTGACATTTTAACAGTTTACTAGAAGAAGCAGAACTTGTATATAATTGTGACTGATATTTGAAGACGAGAGAGTGAAAGAATTTTATTTTGAAGTGTAATACTTTGCCCTCCGTTGTCTTTTCCCTCTTGCTCTCTACAGCTAGAAACTGGTTCTTCCACTTTGACCGCCAGACTTCTGCTGTAATAAGCATTTCGTGTTGCGTCCTGCCCCTGAACATGGACTCGGTAGATGGTTGGTAGAAGTTAGAAGTGGACACACCTAGTTAACCAATTAGAACCCACAGTGGGCAGGTGCTTGCGGGCACCTCAATACGCTTGGTACCTTCACGTCAAAGACAACTCACAGCAACTGTATAAACCACAGATCTGAAGCCGGCGCTCTCCTGTGCCACCCTCATTGTCTCGGACACACTTGAGCCCATTGTCCTGATCACTGTGTCAGTCCGTCTTGTTGAGGTTGTTGCCCTTTTGCACTCACCCCTCTACCTTTCTAAGCTCCATGTCCCTTTCCAAGGAAACAACATCCCCACAGTATGTGAGTCCAAGGTTCTCCAGCCTTCCTTCCAAGGAGCATTCTGGCTGCACTTTTTCCAACACACACCTTGTTTGTTATTTTGGCAGTCCATGGCATATTAAGTATTCTTCTCCAATGAAATCATTCAAAAGCACAGTTCCCCTATCATCCTTATTCATTTTCCAGCTCTCAGATGTGTTGTAAGTTACTGAAAAACCTTGCCTGAATCAGGCACACGTCAGTCCTCCGACTTACATCACTGTTCCTCAGTATTTTGGAGAGATCGTGAAAGCGGGCTTGTGTGGTATGCTGGTAGAATAATGTAAATGTTTCAATATAATATTGAACACACAGAGAATAACACCTTCAGGAAAACAAGAAGATTTCAGAAAAACTGTGCTGATGGTCAGCGTGGTCTTGGGGGTCACATTTTATTCCTCGCTGCTGCCCGGTCTTTTCTTAAGGTTCTCTTGAAACTGCCCTGTGGACACACAGGGTTTGAGAGCCGTGTTTTTTATAGTTTGGTACAAAGCCGAGGATTCGCTCAACTTCATAATATTTTATGTTGTTTTTAAGTTATCAAGAGTATATATTGAATGTCAGTTCATAATGAAGTTTTCATTAATTATTTTATCCTTTCTTAGAGGTAACCTTAAAGGCGATTCAAGCCAAAATAGGAATTAAATCATAAAATACACATCTGGTTTAGAGTTTGGCTGTGGTCAGCTTCCTCTTCCCCTTTTGTTGCCTGGTTGTTTACCCACTTGAGGAACCCACGCTTCACACATGGCCTGTATGGCCGCAGAGTGAACTGGTAATGTATTTATGCATGGAGTTTATGTATTTTTACTATGGAAGGGTCACTATTCAGTTATTTATTATTTTAAAAATTGATACCTTTGAGCTCCGGTGTTGAAGAAGAGTGTTGAATATACCATGGATGGCTAAGAGAACGAACAGGTTTATCCTAGAGAGGGCGAAACCAGGTTGCCCCCTTTGCGGCAAGGATTCTGAAGCTCCGTCTGACATACTTTGGACATGTTGCAAGGAGGGACCAGTCAGTCCTTCGAAAGGGACGTCATGTTTGGGAGGGTGAAGGGACAGCGCAAGAGAGGAAGACCCTTGATAAGATGGATTGACTCAGTGTCTGGGCTAATAGGGGTAGGTGTGTGTCAGAGACAATGAGATTGGCACAGGATAGAGCCGGGTTTAGAGCTGTTGTATAGAGGGTCTCTGTGAGTCACAGGTGACTCGACAGCACATAATGCCAACAACATGTTAAATGATAGTTGTTTCTGCATCTACTTAAAAACGGCATCAGTTGGTAATCTTAGCTGAGTCTTTGTGCTTCCTTCTGACTGCTGAAGCAGCTTGTGGTTCATGGAGATATTAATGGAGTGCTTTGCTTTTGTGTTTGTGTTTATTTAGGACATGTCTCAAGAAGGCTACGGAGCCAGGTCTCAACCTCCTCTGGCCCCCGGAAAACCAAACCATGAAGACTTGAACTTGCTGCAACAAGAGAGACCTTCAAGCTTACCAGTAAGACACCAGTGTGGCAATTGGGGAATGTGATGAGTTCCTTGTTTTTCTCCAGATTGTTGTTTTTCATTTGTGGTACTTTATGGTAACACCTGGGAGAGAGATTTCCAAGGTTCGGAGGTCTTTAGTCATCTCTAGTGCTGACTTTTAGGGATCTGATGCTGGGGCCGGGGCTACCTCCCGGCTAGTGCGTCTGTGCTTTGGTTTGAAGACGTCTCAGATTTGACATCCAGATGTCAGTGGGAAGAAGATTTCCGTTAGCGGGCCGGTGTTGTGAACAGGCAGTTAACTGCTCATAATAATAATAATAATAATAATAATAATAATAATAGTGTCATCTTTAGCTTGCTAGTCTCTTGTAATGTTAAGGAACAGAGGTGTTTCTATTTCTGAAACTTAAGAAGATTTCCCATGTAGCTGAGAACATAAATGGTGAGATGAAGCCCTGTTGAGTGGTTTCAGTTTCTTTGTGGACATTCTAAGTCATGGAGAGCCTCCCAATCCTTTTTTAGTTTGCTTGGCTTTTTTGTTTACTCAAAAGAAGCATTAGAATTTAAAATTTGACAAGGCAGCTTGTTGAGTATTTTCTCCACAAATAGTGCATGGTGTCTGGGGTATATATTGTTAAGAGTTCTACTTTCAGAGTATCATGTTGATAAGCATAAATATTTCAGCTGTACAGAATTTACATTTTTATGGGGAACCTAATTTAAATGAGCTTCCCCTTAACAACAACAAAATCTGTGCAAATAAATATTTTTACACGTCTCTTTTTTGTTGAAATATTCTGACTCGTGTAATTATTGTTATTTAATCTCTACTGCAAAGGTTTGTTTAACATAAAGAGTTCAGGCTAGGCACGATTTTAATTTGACTTTCAAATATGGCTGCATTAAGTAAGATTTATGATGTTCATTCTAAGCATTTTGAGAATATGTATTTGTAATGAATATTACCCGTGGCGTTTGGCACCGACACCAGACTCGTCCTTCATAGCGTGTTGCCTCAGAGGAAAGGTGCGTGGTCACTTTCGAATGGCCACTTGTTTTCAATCTGAGGGATATTTCTTTTGAAACCTCACTTTTTCCTTGTGTTTTTGTGAAGAGATGAGGTTATCCCGTAGTCAGGCTTATTGCAGTAATTTGTTACCTGGTTATTTGATGTTTGAGAGAGTGGGGAAAGGTGATAATTCTGTTTTGTGCTCTTAAATATTTAGTAATACGCAACTGGTTAAGTATGTAGTGTGTATGTTTGTTCTTGAGAAACACAGCGTTGCAGACTGTTTGATTACTCTTGTGTGGTGGCATGAAATGGAAATGGGTGTACGGAAAACAGGCAGAGAATTTCACCTTTTCCACCAGTTAGTGGTGGAAACCAGACCATCCTATTTTGTCTTGTGGGTAGAATTGCTGGCAGAAGCTTTGAACGGTGACCTTTATCTGTAAATACAGAGACGCTGTCTGATGGGCCAGTCTGCTGGTTCTCTCCACTCCCTGGGGGCCCAGGAGATGACCAGACTCAGTGCTGGTGTGCCTGGTGGGTGGGCGGTCAGCGTCCTGCCAGCTCCCAGAGCATTTCCAGTGATGCGGGGAAGTGTGTGACTCCCACAGGTTGACCGCAGGGTTCTCTTTGAGGGTGTTTGCTGAGTTCATTGCTGGAAACAGAGGTAGAGGTAATACTTGGCCTGAACCATGAGTCTTACCTGTAGTTTGCATCTGTCCTGAGTTGTGCTATTTCTATAGTAATTTGCCTTCTTTAGTCTTTTCCTTGCCTACTTCCCAAGAAGATTAAGGTTTCTTGTATTGCTTTTAGGAAAAGCAACACTTTAATTGGTATTTTCTTTCTATCCATGTAACATATAGATAAATATGGAGCTGACTGACCAGTGACACTTTGAGACCATTCCAGTAGTTTAATACAGAGAACATAGTTTAGGGTTTAATGTGAGTCCATGGAAACATGAGGACGCTCTGGGAGTGGAGTCCATGGTGGATGTGGGGTTAACCTAAAGGCTGCTTGTTACTGAACCCCCCCACTTCTCTGTGGGAGGAGGATGGGCATTCTCCCCCCCCTTGCAGTGACAGCCACAGAAGATCACTCTGAGACACGACAGGCTGGACAGCAGTGAGTTCTGAGTGTAATAGAAGTATCAGTTATTGAATAAAGAACCAATTACCAGTCACCGTGCCAGAGACGCTCTCAATCTGTTAGGATCAAAAGTGCCATTATCGATAACAACTTCAGTGTACGACCTCTTTTTGTGAGGTTTTTCCCCCCCACTAGGGCTTTAGACAATGTGATGTGGTGATTCTAATGCATAACTTTAGGTCCTTTTTCATTATATAACAAAAAAAAATGCTTCTTGAGTAGTAATTTTTTATATCTTAGAAGAATTTTTTTAATTATTTTTATTGCTTCTATTTTCTTCACCTTGAATGGATTTTGTAATCATCTTCTGCATACCTGATAACTGTTTTTGTGAGTGTAATTACATAGTTAATAAGTTTCCATTACAAGAAATCAAGACATTTCCAGGATCCTCGTGCTAGCTGTAGAATTGGATCTCTCAATATACCGTTCTAGCTGCACTGAGTGAACGTGTGTTTGTGTCTGTTTGCATGTTATTAAATGGTTGCTGATTATTCGTCACTAACACAGCTCTGATTTCCAGCTGACTGGAATGGATTGTCAGAGCCTTTGCAGAACGCAGATGACTGATCAGTTAAGACTTGTCCTCTCTTGTCTGGGGCCCATGACCACTCATAGTTACTCCTTTTGCTTAATGGACTCAGACCGAAACTAAATGAGGATTAAATAGATCTTCCTTAATACCGTTGTTTGGTTTGGGTTTTGGTGGTTTTTTTTTTCTGTGCCTCTTAATCAGACCTTTTTCCCCCTATTAAGAGCTATTAGCTCAGGTATTATTGATATATCATAAATAGTAAAGCTTGGCGTATTGCATGGGACACTAAAGTTACCTGGAAGAGCTCTGTGCACTAAGAATAGTATCACTTAACATTTTTAACACACTCTGAACTTCTCACGACTTCTGATGTTGGTATGAAATGAAGCTAGCATTTAAGCAGCCGGCACAGTGGAAGATCTAAAAGACCCTCTTATGGCACACACTGGAGACTAAGGTGCACCTGATATAGGCCAGGGTCTTTGCAGTCACTTGCTTATAGCAAGTCAGCTGGACAATGACTAGGGAGGATAGAAGGAAAGTTGATGCCTTTGAGCTATGGTGCTGGAGAAGAGTACTGAGGGTACCATGGACTGCTAAGAAAACGAACTGGTTTAACCTGGAGAGGGTTAAACCGGGCTGCTCCTTGGAGGCAAGGATTCTGAAGCTTCATCTGACATGCTATGAGCATGTTGCAAGGAGGGACCAGTCCTTGGAGAAAATTACATGCTTGGAAGGGGGGAGGGACAGCGCAGGAGAAGAAGACCCTCTATGATGTGAATTGATTCAGTGACTTGGATAATCGGAGTGGGTGTGTCAGAGACAGTGAGGTTGGCACAGGGTAGAGCAGGGTTTAGGGCTGTTGTACATAAGGTTGTTATGAGTCGCAGGCAACTCGATGGCACATAACAACAACAAGGATTCCTTTACTTTCATAAGGGTGCCATGTTTTCAATCAATGATCAAAGACTCAATGATTATGGTGGCACAATGGTTAATCACTTTGCTGCTTACTGTAAGGTGGGCAGTGTGAAACCCACCTGTTACTTCTGTGGGAGAAAGACCTGGGGTCTCCTTCCATCAGATGACAACGTAGAACACGTGTGGGGACAGGTGGATTCTCCCTTTATTAGCATGAACTCCACAGCCCCTCACAACAGACCTACTACCTAAACCTTGAACACATCTCCACTGACGCTCTAAGATGCCCCCAGAGCAGGAGTCCACATGCTTTTTGTGTCCTTGCCATGTGTGGGCTGTGGCAGTTCCTGTCCAGTTTTTTATTGTAGCTGATTTCATGGTGCTCTTGCCTCCATCTTTTTGAGTAGGATTGTTCCAGGGTGTTTATGGTGTTTACTTTGTAAAGATTTGCCTACTGGAGCTTATGGAAAACCTTTCCTAGGGAGCAAAGTGTTTTTCTTTCCCAGTTGAGGTGGTGTTTTGTTGTAGTTCAGGGCTCATCATTGTGATAGTGATGTGAGAGAGGCCCTGTCCTACTGTGCTGGCTTCAGGGAAGGATTCAAAGGGGCCAGGAAGCCCTTTACTCTTAGGATACAGTGGCCTTTGAATTTTCTCCTTGCAAACTTCAGCTCCAAGAAAAGAAGTGATATTTTTAGACACGTTAGCTAAAAATAGTATGAAAACAAGACTTTCTTGGGAATTTATACTTTTTTTTAAATTATAAAGGTTTAAAAAAGGGAGCTCTGGTGGCCTAGTGGCAAAAAACTGTGTGGCAGTCCCAAAGGCTTGTGGTTCAAGACCACGTGCTGCTCCATGGGAAGAGGGATTGGTAATCTCCTCCCATGTGATTAACTGCCTCTGACAGCCCACCAGAGGCCCAGCGATGGGTCAGTTCCTACTCTGTGGCATACTACAACAATAAAGAAAAGGAGCGGTAATGGTAATTCAGAATTTTAATAATTGTTATATTCAGTTAGAATGTTGCTAATGAAATATTTATAAACAACTATCCAAAAGGAAGTCAACAAAATGAAAAAGCAAGGTTTACTTTTTAGTCATCATTCTAACTGAAATAGTGCTTGTCCCTGCAAGGATCTGGACCTTGTCAGTTCCTCAGTGTCGGAGCAGCATGTTTGCCTTCCTCCAAGTGGCTGGCTTCCCACTCAGTTTTCTCTCTGACATTGCCAGGCTCGTCATTGCATGGACCTGAGAACTGGGGTTCCACAGCTTGGGGATCATGTTCTAACAGCATTTTGAGAACATCCTGCTCTGACCTTGTAGAAAAGGGCTGTAAATACGGGCTGATCTGGAGGGCCCATCAGGTGATTAAACCCTCTGTCTGCACTTTCCCCTGTAA